TACTTCACAGACACAAGTTGAGTTTCAAGTACATGGGTTGGGAAGCACAGAACTCCTCTCTCTGCAGATGGAAACCAGTCAGCTCCACTGTGGGCCTCTGGCTATAAGGGAATCCACATCTGCAGAGGGGCACAGCCTTGTGGTGGCTGAAGGACAATACCTAAGTCCCAAGATATGTCCATGGACCATACATTCATCCTGTAGATGCAAAGGGGGTGATTGGTGGAGTCATAGAATACATGATCAGCATGTGCTGTGAAGATGGTACATTGAGGCACCTGTCCAAGTCAGGGGCTCTATTACTGAAGCCCCTCTGTTATGAGGTAAAAATCCCTCTTGTCCCAAGTATCTTTCCTTTACTAGAGTGAATGACCCCAAAGATAAGCCCATGTCCTAGTTTCTGAAATTTCTGAGTATTGTTGAATATAGCAAAAGAGTAAATACTACTTTATATGGCAAAGGATGTAAGTGAAAGGTCTTGAGAACAAGAAGTTGTCCAGGATTATTAGGACCCTTATGAGAGAGAGACAGGGGGCTTCAACACAGGCACAGAGAAGGGGAGGCAGTGTAGAGATGGGCAGTGGGGTACAAGCCCAGCTGTGGGGCAGCTGCCAGAAGATGGGAGAGGCAAGGCTCACACTATCCCTGGACCCTCAGGGCATCCCTGCCAGTACCTTGGTGCCAGGCTGGTGGAAATGACTTCAGACTTTTCACCAAAATCTTACTTGTGAGAAATTAAACTCTGTTGTGTCAAGCCAGAAAGGTCTTGCTGAATTGGTACAGCAGACATAGTAAACAAATGCACTCCCCGATTTCAGAAGCTCTATTTCTAGGGGTGTGATATAACCGGATGAAAGCAGGAGTGTGATGAGCAGGCTGCACACAGGTCACAGTGTTGGGTGCAGTGACTCCTGGGCATCTGGGTGAAATCCGCACGCACAAGTCCATGCGGTGACTGGAATAACTTCTGTTACTTCTCAGCTGTGCCCTTGTCAGTGGAAGGATTCCACATAGGTGAGAAGCATTTCTAGGCCACATATTGGAGGCTTTCTCTCTGAGTGGCTCTGTTGTCTCCCAGTTCAGGTCTGCAGAAGCAGCAGGCGTCAAGAGGGGCATGTCAGGCTGAGGCCTGTCTCCTTATGGCTCAGGAGGTGTCCTGGGTGCAAGACAACTGAGAATCAGAGAAGCAGAAGTGTAAACTGGAGTAGAGGAGGAGGGTAACCCTGTCGGTGGCTGTTAGGACAGACAAGTAAATAAAAGGTGTGTGTCACAAAGGAAATGTGTTGGAAGTGGGCATGGACAAGAACTACATCAAGTTGCCATCAGGGCAGAATATCTTAACTTTATGTATCATAGATTATCATTTAGTCACGGAATATCTTAACTTTATGTATCATAGATTGTCATTTAATTGCTTCATTTCTCTGGGTTCAATAATACAGCTTTCTGCTCTTTAAGGGAAAGGATTATGGCTATGTAAAGAATGGTATTATAAAGTAAGTAAATACATTTTTAATGCAAACCTTCAAAATGGAAATATATGTTTTTTTGAAAAAGACTTCTCTTAAAGGTAGAATTTTAAGAGGTTTTCTCTAGCATAGTTGCTATTGGGAGAGTGATTTGTAAGTAATTTCAGAGGTTTGCAGCCAGCTTGTGTTTGTTTCTTCACTGATGGAAGCAAATTATATTACACTACTTGATAATAATTCACAATAGTTAACTGACCTTTGGTTCTATCAAAAATTACACTTACTCCCAAAGAATAAGGACCTTTACATGTGGACTATTTAGAATAATATGGCTGGTAAAGCTTTTGCCAAAACTAGTTTCTTACCTATCACTCCTTGGACAACATGTGCTGGGCAACTTTCTGATAACCTGAGCCTCTCTGTCTTTTCTCAAGCACTTTGCCCATCTTGCCCTGAACACTTGACTACCATGACTTCATCCCTCATGCAGAAATATGTTGTTCTTCCTTAAATAAGCCCTTCAAGTATAATAAAAAAGGGGATTATCTCCCCTTTTATGTGATCATCTGTGTTTACGTATAATTTGTGATACATATGTATTATATTAAATCTTAGATATTATTAGTTGTAGTCTCATCTGCTTCACTGATTTTCCTAAGAACAAGTTCAGTATTTGAATAGACAAAATTATGAGTCATGCTGATTCTGAGATGCATTCCTGATGCCGAACCAAACAATTCTGAATGACAGTATGACTGATAAAAGACTCTAGATCATGAAATCTCTTCCATGGTGAACAGGGTGAGTGAATGCCACACACAGCTAGCAGGGCAGATGGAGCCCTGCAGTGCTGAGGAGAACCAAAAATGTGGCTTGTGGTATCTGCAACCTACGCAACTGCACACAGCGACCCTCTTTGCCAAGTCTGGCGTGACTACCGTCATTGGAAATGATTGGCATTCCTCAGAATTCCTGAAGCCTCTCCTTTGTTGACGATACAGCCTATTTGCCCCCAAGTGTCTGCTCTTTCATACTGTACAGCTTGTTTTCACATGTATATAACTTATTTTCTCAATTATAAATGTTTTAATTTTTGGAATAAAAGAATGCATGTGTCTTCTCTGTGTCTTATCTGGTGATTGTTTTTGGTACACTGTTAATTGGCTTATGAATTTGTAGTACTTTTTAAATCCAAATAATTCTTAGAAATTCATTTGTAATTGTACCTTAATTCCAACATGAATGCAAGCTTAGAAAAACTATATTCTATACTATATATTTCATTTGCTTGAATGGAATTTGTCTTTCTACAGAAAATGAAATAAACAATTTTATTTGTGAATTGCATCAAGCCAAGATAATTTTAAGAACATATAAAAATTATGGTATTTAGAATTTCAGATTTAAAATTTAAGCTCAAATTTTATAAAGTGTTCTGTAAAGACTATCTTAGGATGATAAAATGCTAAGTGCTTTCTTTGGATTTACTGAATATAGTAAAAAAAGTCCATGATTCACTGCTCCCGTATGTTATGGAATGAATAACATATATTAAACCATGAATTCTGGTAAACTTATCATCATCTAATGTATTTATTTCAAAATAAATATCAGCAAACATTCTACTGGTTTAAGAAATGGTGTAAATTCGTATCAACTTTGAATCAAAGTGGTGATGAAAATATATGCAGTGTTAATAATGTTCATAATGATGATAATTTAGCAGATCCTGACCAGGATGAGATCTAAATAAAAATACCACTTTTATTTGTGCACACTGGGAATCTGAAAGTGTTTAGTGTTTAGCAATGCTGGCTTTAAAAAGATTAAGGATAACTAAAGTTTTTTTTTTTAACCTCAAAACCAATTTTACATGCACATTGTAATTCAGTGTTAAGAAGTTATTTCAATTTCAAGAGTTTCTAATAAATCTTCAAATTTTTAAAAAGATTTCATTTCTAGATATATCCTCTATATATATATGTGTATATATATATATATCCCCAAGCAAAAATGATATATTCATCCTACTAATAAAATATTCTTTATTGATTAGAAACCTGAGCTTAGTCATAATTTGAGATATTGTATTTCAGAAGCAAATAATTTGCATAATTTATGCCTTGTTTTGATTATACAAATGAAAGAACAATGCAAGTAGCATCGTATTTTAAAATCATTTCTCTCTGCAATTTATGTCTCCAAGTGGGACAGAATAATGTTGCAGGTTTTCCAGTCATCGTTTTAATTCCCAGTAGAATTTCATGCCAATTACTTAATCAGTACTGGCAGCATGGCTGTTTTCTCCATTAGATTCTTATGAGATCAACTCTGTGGCCAGGCAAGATTTTAAAGTGGTCTTTTGGCAGAATTCACAGAACTGGGATGAAGGGAACGTGTTTGGAATAAGACAGACCTCATGGAAACCTTAGAGAGAGGAGCAGAGGAGGGAAGGGCGGTAGGGGGCAGAGGACAGTGCAGCTTTTCCCCAGGCCCACACAGAGTTTGAACTTCTTTCCCTAATGAAGACTAACACTATACTTCTTAACAGTCTTTGGGGATTACTTTTTTTGTAGGCTTGACTTATTCATGAAAAAAGAAGAAAAAAAGCAAAGTAAAAAGGAAGCAATTGTTTGTGGTAAAACCTCTTTTCTCACCCTGGTACAGACTTCTAATGACTCTCTCCATAAACAATTTCAATGAATGAGAATGAGACTGATTCACAAAAGGGCTTCTGAATATTGAATGTGTTTGTATAGATTCCCTGTTGCTTTACTTCTTATTTTTAAGCCCTTTATCCCTCTGTGTAAAATGTTCACACAAAAAGGCAGAGCAATGCACAGTTTAATTAAAGTGGAAAAGCAAATGATTCTAAAAGTAGGTAGCAGAGGAAGAAGGGTTTTCCTAAGTTATTCCAGATCAAAGTCTAATGGATCTATTTTGAGGCATTTCTACACAATAAAAAGGATTAATTGTCACTAAACTGACTAATTTGTCTCTCTAAATATTGGTCTTCGCAGGAAAAGTGTACTTCCTCATTGCTATTCTCTCTAAAAGTAAGCTGCTCTCATTTTGAGGCACATCAGGGAAATGTGGTGAAGTAGTTGTCTGTTTTCTGATATTATTCCTCATGGAATACTAGGGGAGCTCTTTAGAAAGTTCCAGATGTGTGAGTCCTTTATTCCTGAGCAATTATTGCTTCTGTTTCTGAGGCTATGAAAAACATGTCACAACTATAAATTCAAATGAAAAATTCATATGATGAAATATAACTATAATTGACATGTGACTAGCAAAATGTTTTTAAGGAATATACCCTTATTTTATTATTGGAAAACCTTGATATACGAAACAAAAAATTTATAATGAAGAACTCTATATGGATTAATGCACTGTAAATGAGAATACAGTTTATTAATTGTAATTTATCTTCAAGAGTTGGAATGGCAGTGAGAAAAGGCATGATGCTATTGTAAGTTTATTTACTTTGTAGAGTATACGCACTAAATATGGTTGTTTATTTTTTTACAGTATGAAGGATGCAGGAATTGGCCATAAACCATGGAGGGGTCCCGTATCATCCACCTGCAAGCAGTGCCCGGGGCTCTATGCCAGCCCTGTCTGTGGTTCAGATGGTCATACCTACTCCTCTCAGGTAAATACAATTACAGCCATTTGGTGTGAAATATGTAATATATATTTATTAGTAAGTGACTAAACCTACTAGTTCTCCAGTGTGGTTATCCAAATAGTTTATTTAACTTTAAAAACAATGCAGATAATCTCCCTGGTTTGGGATATGATTCAATACATGTTTGTTTCTTCTATATCAGAATTTTAAAGTCTGAAATACTAAAGCCATGACACATTGAACCCTCAAATACTGAAGCCAACATTTCCTATGGAAGAGGCCAGAAATGGTATTGAGAACAGTCGTTACTATTCTAACAACTCTAACAACTATAATCTGCCATTATCATTACTTCTTTTACCTCATACATTTTTCCCTCTATTTTCTCATATAAGCATCCCCGAATCCCTTTTAACAAATGAGAAAACTAAAGACCAGAAAGATACAGCAAATTCCACATATTTAGATCATCACATTGAAGGCAACGTTTGATGTCTTCTCCAATTCAGTGTCTCTGTTCTCTCCTCTGCATTACTCTGCCTCCTCTGTGGTGTCCATAAGTGCTCAATTATTTAGGAGTTATGAAGAACTCTACCTAATAAGATCTTGATGAGTTTTCTTTGATTATGTGATAGGAAGGAATACAGGTTCATAAAATTTACAAGAAACTTTGGGACCAGATAAATCTATGAATTTAGATTTTTTAAAAATATATTTTAGAAGGGTAATGTATGCAGTGTCCCCAGTGGACCTTGCCCTATCATTAAACATATTAACATCTCTTTAAGGAACTATTGGAATATTCACATTATAAAGGATATATGAAGTCTATGAAATAGCTTTGCTTCAGTTCATGTCTGGCTTTGCTTACTGCAATGTGAGTTCCAAAAAAATTTGGCTATCTGAAAGTTTTGTTTTGTAGATTTACTAACTGTCCTTTCTCCCAGTAAATATTTCCCTACAACTTACCCTTGCATTTACAATTGCTAATCTTGGTAAGAGCACTACAATTATAAGATACATTCATTTGGTCACTGAACATATGTCTAGTCGTTAATAGGTACCAAGTACTATGAATCCTCAGTGAAAGTGAAACTGCCATGTGCCTACTTGGTTAAGTTTTAAAGATATACATAGAAGTTTGGGTATTTCTAGGAGAGAAGGGAGTGTGTCACTTGTCTTCCCAACATAACCTTGATCTTGGTGAATTTACTATGGTTTGGAACCTTGGCTTTTCAGGTTGAGAAAATTCATGTTATCAGCACAGAGATAATATATCTATCTCATATTATCAAATCCTATCCCATAATGTAAACCATTATACTGATGAATAAATTAAAATGAATGATGAAATTATAATATTCAAATTGGTGGGTAAAGCTATATGGCAAGAAAATTTTCATTCTAATTTTACTTGGTGAACATTGATGGTTGAACAAGGTGAGTCAAGAAAGAGACTGGAATTTTTGCTGGCATCCAGCCAAGTTATCTGTGTCTTTCTCAAATTAGAAATGTATCCGCTGCAAGTACTGGAGAGTCATGTGCATGGGGTCCCTGGAGCATGCTACTAGTCTGCCGCCTGCTTGTTTGGGGCTCTCTGTAGGATGCTCCTAGTAGATGATCAGTTCCTTCACAACTGATCTTTACAGGACACAAAGCTGCAATCACAAGGGACATCTTGTTGGGACCATAAGGGAGGCCTTATTGATGATCTTTGAATAGCAATCATCTTAATCATTTAAGACTAAATTCATCCATCCGTCATAGGTAGATTAATTCACATATACTTCCAGTCACATCAGTTTTCTCCATTGTTCTCTTTTGAGCTGGGCACACTGTCAAACTCCAACTTACAAATCATATTGACTGTTAGTATTGTAAATAAAACCATTCTAAGTAATTCATTGAATTGAATAATAAACCATCAAATCATTTTAATGTTTATTTGCATATATATTGTTTTTGATCCATTTCTTATTTACACAGAAAGCCAAAAAAAGAACATGGTTCAAATGGAAGTGAGTTTTTAATAACTCCAAATCACTATCCCTATTTCTGTGGATTCTAGTTTAACTTGGTGATGTTTCCACTTTGTACCACCCAGTACTAATTTTACAGAAGTGAGGCTAGCTGTGTAAAATAATGAAGCTAAACAGAGATCTTAGCCCAGTAAGAACTTATAATCAACTCTACTTACTGACACTTTCTAGAAGTTTATTGGATTATAAATTCAAATTAAGGCCCTTAGCATTTTTGTGTGTAAGACAAAGTACCACCCTGGACTCTAGGTGCAGGGTCATGAACAGTGACTACAGGGGTAAATGCCTGCTGGAGGTCATTGTGTTATTTCTCCAATATCTACTTCTCAGGCTATGAAAATAGAAAAAGGTTCAGGCGTCACAGGATCTTTCTTCTAGCTCTTGAATCACTCAACTTGGTCAATAGTCTAAGAAACTCCAACAGGGCAGATTTAAGCAGCCTTTGGGGGCTCAGAGGCATTTGAGCTCATAGTAATGGTGAGCGCCAAATTCCAAGTTTGCTATGGTCCATGAAGCTCCTTGCCTAAAGTTTCTGGTCGCTTAATTGGGTAATGCTGGTGTGTTAAATATTGTCCAGAAACCAGGTGCGTCAGTCGGGAGAGTAGGACCCTGCATCCAGGTTGGATGCCCATCCTATTCTCTGGTGTTCTTACCTTCTTGCTGTATGTTGCACTCCCTGAATTGATTAATATGCAGTTTGCTTGGTTAGTTTTGTCTGTTTTTACTGCTACAAATAATATTTCTACAGGTTCTAGTTTGACCCACAATGTTTCCTCATTATCTTCAGCTCAATTTATGGAGATGAAATTATAAATTATATTTCTACTGTAAAACTCAATTGGAGATGAGGTCATCTGAAGTATAGTAGGCACAGAAGCAGGGGGTCTAGGTGGAGAAAGGGTCATCAGAAGGTATCCAAAAGCAGATGTTAATCAAATGACACACGAGGGTGTAATTTTGGAAAGCTTACCTCATTACACGATGTGGTCAATTTGGAAAAATTATTTTATTAAAGCTCAAGTTCTGAACTTGTCAGCTTCTCTAGAAATCTCGGCTGAGTATTTTTAAAACATATGCACAAAAAGACAAAAGAACAGATGAATAACTCTGGAAAAATTGATTTCCTTGAAAAATATTGGGACTTTTGTGCTTTTCACAAGAAGTATTTCTGTAATGTTGTCTGGTTTTTTTTTCTTGTTAAAGGAAACTATTGACTTTTCTTAGAAGCTTACCAAACTTTCATTTAAAAACAACCAATGTTTTCTGAATTCTTTCAAATTCAGCAATGCTAGAAATATCAGAATGTATATCTTTCAGGGTTATTTGAGAAGTAATCATTCTTGAAATTGACACAAAAGATGAAGGTCTTTATTTCTCTACTTCAGGCAAAGTCTATTTTGATTGTCTTTTCAAGCTTCACTAAGAACTAGGAATTGTTCTCCAATATAGCATCTATATTAGGCCATGGATTTATTTGTCACTGACTCATGTAAATTGTATACTACAATGGCTGAGCAGAAGTCAATAAATAATTTTAATGTTTTAGAATTCAGCAGGGCATCTGTAATATAAATTCCCTAGGAATAACACATTGCATGATTCTGAACTCTCTTTTGTCATGTTTAGGCACGCAGTGGTTGGCAATTAAACTAAATAATGGTGAATTCTTTAGTAATGAACACTATAAGAAATTGTGTGTGTGTATGTGTGTGTGTGTGTGTGTGTGTGTGTGTGTGTGTGTGTTAAGAAATGGCAAAGAGGAGGCTTATCCATTTTGCACTAGAGTTCCCAACTCTGGCTGCAGAGGTGCTTCTTAAATTGGTTTAGGATGGGGGCCCTATAAATCTGAATTTTAAGTTTCTCCCCACCCCTGTGATTTTTATGTGTTGGCATGGTTGAGAAACACTGTTGCCTCCCTTCAAATGATTGCTTTTGAAATCTTAATTTTTAAGAGTTTCATTTGTTTTGTTTTATAAAATAGAACAATGAGATTAGCACTAAAGGGAAAGCATGTACTTTGCATTGCAATTTGAGAAAATTCCATTTTAGGTTTCAACATTCTGCTAGTATGTTTTAATCTTTCTTTAATTTTTTTTTCCATATTTGAGGCATTTTTCTTACTTTCTCTTAATAAGTTACTAATTCTAGTAGCTTTACACATTTTGAAAGAAAATTTCTGAGACCTCATTGTTTTGCTTCATTGTATCTGTTAGTGTTTAGTATGTAACTGTCCTGTCTCCTTTCTTCTGAATACTTTGCCTGAGCTGAGATGACATTGTGTTCGAAGATCAAGTCAGAAACAAATTTGCACTGGTTCCATTTGAACTGCTTTCAAGGTAAATTAGGTCTTACTGTTAGCTTAGTGATGCCAAATTGATCAAGATCACAACTCCAGTGTATTACCAGAATCACTGACCAATATAAGCTCTTATGAAAGCACTGAGCATAGTAGGAAATAATATGAGTGAACTTTATCATAAAATCTCAGATATAAAAGGAGCTCAGTAGGACAGCTAAGACAAACTTCTACATGAGCACAGTAGTCCCTGAAAAAGCACCGTGTTCCCTGACATAACCGTCTGTCTTGCGGGGCATCCCAAGCGTCAGGGAAGTTCCTGTCCTGATACTGATTTCACTCCCAACACTCCCTATTCCTGCCCACTGGGCATTTATTGGTGCACAAAATTTATATTCCGCTGCCTTCAGTAACTGTGAAAATATGAATTCCTAAACTTTCATTTAAAACGGAACTAGAAGCTAAAAGACAGCCTAAATTTAAGACTATTATTTAATTTTTATGAAACTCCATTCCCCCCACCCCAGCCTTTTTTGATTCTCTCACATGCATTTATTTAGATATGAACAGTTTTTATGCAGCTCACCTTCATGGAGTCTGAAATACTCAACATTGTCTTCATGGAAATCCAACCATCTACTTTGCACTGATATTTAAGCATATAAAGTCATCTTTAATTAAATTGCAGA